TATAAATATATATGTAAATTATATATATATAATTTAAAAATACTAAAATACTTTTAAATATAAAACTATTTTTTGTAGAGTCACCAAAACGACAATTCCAATTTTATGTCAATGCATACATATATTTAAAATAGACATATACCTTAATTTTTTAACACCCTCTGTAACTATCATTAGTGTTCCAAATTGGATGACATGATTGTTTAGGTAATCTAACCATGAAGGATTGATGATATGAACAAAATAAATATGAGTGAAAATGGAAGAGACAGAAATAAACATTTCATAAAAAGCAATGAAATTTAATGAATGACTGGAAGAATTGAAGTGATAACAAAGAAAATTACTAATCATTCAAATTGGAATAATCAGAAAAACAGTGGAAAAACTCAAAAACTTTGGAAACTTGGGAATGTCAAAAAGATAAAGAACAATTATACAAATAAACATCTTTTGACCTTGAAGCCCCATGATACTTCTCTGTGACAATAATCTCATCCTGTTTCTAATAAACACATTCAAACTCTTTGAGTTTCCATATATGCATTAATTTAGTTCTAGTATTAATTCTTCTTAAAATATTAGTCATGATTTTGAGACTGTATATTTACTGATGCATTTATCTGAATAACTAGAGACTTTTTGAGTGTCTGAAATAAAAATTTGTTCTGCAAATAGGAACTTACAAAGGAGTTGTTTTACAAATGAGAATCTAAAGCCTGGTGAGTTAAGCGTACTACTCTGGATCACATGGACAATAATAATGAGGAACCCTACACCAACTGACTAGATATCACGCATTGTCCTAAGAAAGTTATATATTTTGACTGATTTAACCTCATAACACAACATATCAAGTTAGTACTATAGTATTACCATCCTCATTTTACACTGGAAAGATGAAACTCAGTTTAAGAAATATCTGAGGGTCACACAGCTATTAGTTGAAGAGTTGGGAATTTAACCCATGTCTTCAGGCTGAAAGGTGTTTTATCTGCTATATCATTTCAATCATGGGGGAAATCAAGAAGAACCAATTTTGATGGTTTTCAATTCTAGAGTTTATGCACAAAATGGCACACATTTAGGGAAATTGCTTTAGAAATATTTATTTTATACATGTGGAGAGGACACATTTATTTGAACTACATGGATATACTCAACACAGCCAATCAAACTGAAACAATGCACTCACGCTCAGGGATATGCTTACAAATCATTATTTAAAATCTCTTAAGGAAGCATAAGACTGTCTTTGAGATTACCTAAATAACTTGTTAATATTGAAATGTGGAAATAAAAAGAAAAATTACACCTGAATTGTGCTTAGTAAGTATTCAAGTATCTTGAATCAAGAAAGCTTACTGGAAAAATATATCTTGAAAGTTGTTTACAACATTCTAGTAATTAAAAATAAATAGCAATTTTTAAAAAGTCGCATTCTAATAATGTTTAAACTTCTAAAATGTTTCCATAATATCATGAAGAAAAACATTAAAATTATACTTATAAATATTTCACTTAATAATAATTGAATTTTAGAATATTCAAATACTCTACTTAAAAATTGTTATTTAGTGGAAAGAATTTTAAAAGAATGATGTTCCATTTATGGTGTTCCATTTATGTTGTGGGGCAGATTGTTATTCCTGTACATTGAATTGAAACTTTAAAGGATTTACAGCTTTTCAAAATAATCTGATACCACAGAGAACCTTACACATTTGATAAAACCCTTGAAAAACAAAGTTTTATGTATACAAAGAATTGCATTTTCTTAAGTGACAATAGAATGTATCAATATAATTGTAAGCAGTGACAGATGTAATTATATTTGATTGGGGAAATTAAGAGGTGTCTATAGATCTCAGCAAATCCCTCAGACAGAAGTGACAAGGGGTCCTCTAGGTTTTAGACAGAGTACAGGGACATCTGCCTTCCCACTTCTGCATCTTGGCTGGGGCAGATTAGAAATCATGTAGGTTTTAAGAAGAATGGCAACATAGTTTCATCGACAATCCATGTTATGCCATCCTTAATATCAAATGTCTCCTAGTTATTGCAAAATTGTTTCATGTTTTAGGTTAGGAAAGAAGGAAGGAAGGAAAGGAAAGGGAAGGAAAGGGAAGGAAAGGGAAGGGAAGGGAAGGGAAGGGAAGGGAAGGGAAAGGAAGGGAAGGGAAGGGAAGGGAAAGGAAGGAAGGAAGGAAGGAAGGAGGGAGGGAGGGAAGGAAGGAAGGAAGGAAAGAAGGAAAGAAAGGGAAGGAAGGAAGGAAGGAAAGAAGGAAAGAAAGGGAAGGAAAGAAGGAAAGAAAAAGAGGGAAGGAAAGAAGGAAAGAAAAAGAAGGAAGGAAAGAAAGAAAGGGAAGGAAGGAAGGAAAGAAAGAAAGGAAAGAAAGGAAAGGAAGGAAGGAAGAAGGAAAGAAGGAAGGAAGGAAGGAAGGAAGAAAGAAAGAAAGAAAGAGGAAGGAAAGGAAAGAAGGAAGGAAGGAAAGAAGGAAGGAAGGAAGGAAGGAAGGAAGGAAGGAAGGAAGGAGAAAGAAATACATTATGCTCCTAGAAAAAGAGGAAAATTGATCAAATTGGCTGGAGGAATGTTGATTTTGAGGCCAATATACACAATAAAAAATAAAAGTTTTCTAGACAAATAAAGGAGACATTTGCCCTAATTTTAAGTGCAGTTATGATAATATTATTCCTTAAATGTCTATTATTCTGAATAAATTATTGTTAATATTGTTTTCTTTTAAATTCATGTTGTCAATTCTTACTGCTTACTTAGTTAATTATTTGCTTTTACAAGCATTTATTTATTTGTTACAATTTTAAATGTGGAGCTACATAATAAACTAAAGAAGACACATATCAGAGGGCATTTAAAACTCATTAATATTACTTTCTCACACTTATTTTCATTTTGCCCTTTCTAATTTGGTAGTATGCTTACCAAAATTTTAAATTTTATGCTTCAAAAAATTTAAGTCGAAACTATTCTGTAGCCTACTCTACTCACTTTAAAGATAAATGACTGCAGATCTCCACTTGAATTGGTAAAATAATTCAAACAAAAATATTCAAACATGTTGCAAACTGATTTCATACATTTCTTGTACTTGTTGATATACTGTGTCACATGTATATTTAAATCTGTTAATAATTTCGTCATTCTAAATTTTCTTTTACAGCAGTAAGATTTAGTGTGCTTTTGAAAATGTAATACTTAACTGAATAAAACAAAATATGAGTGAAAAATATGAAGCTGGAAAGACATGAAGAAACAATGAAATGATAGTACTTAATTTTTCAGATAAAAAATCAGAATCGCAAAGGTATTAATTTTTACAAATGAAGTAGTATATAAAAATTAGACTCAAGTTCATCTGGCATTCAATTCACTGCTCTACCTATTGAATGTAAAGGGCCTGAAGTCATTTTGAATATATCGTACTTTCCTACTCCCACTGAAAGCTTGCATTCCCTTAATGACCTCTTCAGTACTAATTGAACACTTATCGAATGCCTACAATTTAGGGAATTTATTAATCCCTGAGACAGTCATCAATTTTTTTAAGATCTCACATAAGAAAGAAGCATATTATAGAAAGGTATTTATACTTCAGCTCTCACACACTAATCCTCATGCTTAGGCTGGGTTGAGGGGGATAAGGGAGAATGGGGATGGGGGTCTGGGGAGGTTCTGAAATAGGCAGGACTAAAGGGTAAGGCATGCAGAGAACTTCTCCTTTCACATAATAGTGTTTCAATTATTAAAAGCACATAGTATTCCCTCGTAGATCTCACGTCTCTTTACACTTTCCATTTCCTCTTTAATCATGTTTCAAATCCTCCTTGTGATTTCCAAGGTGTGACATTCAGTGCTGAAGCAAGATCCACAAATGATTAGATCACTGTGGGACTCAGCTGAACATTCACAGACTCTTTCTAGATAAGTCGGAGTCAACATTTTAATGCTTCAAATCCACCTGGGCAAGAGTTTTGTTTGCATTCTGTTGGCTTGCTTGCTTAGTTGCTCGTTTTTTTGTCTGCTATAAAGAGGAGTAGCTCAAAGCCAACCTGATTCTGATAAATGGTCAAGGTAGATAATTCCTGGCCCAAACACTATGTTTCTTTCTTTCTTTTTTTTTTTTATTATTTTAATCCTAAGATTGCAATTTTATAGTTACAGAATTCCTTACACTCAGGCTAAGTTTATATATAAACATGCCAAGTTTACATTTGACATGTTCACATGGACTACTTCTAAGCAAAATCTTAAATATCTGAATAAGAACATGTGATTTTTATAATTTAGCTAGGATCTAATATTTTTACACTGGTAATTTTTAGCTTTTTAGGTTATTTCTAACTGCCCAGATATTTGTGGTTCCTGATTATGTTTTCCAGTATTTTCACTATTTTCTCAGCTCTGCATTTTGTGGAAATATTTTCTGTATATTCATTTAAATCTGATAAATAAGTTAACAGACAAGAACATAAAAAAGAGTCCTGAAGAATTCAAAAGGAAATTCCCTCCAGAGTGACATAAACATTAAGGCATGGTTATTCAATCCATTTCTAATCTGTCCTCTGAGTGACACCAGAGACCTTGCCTAGCGTTATACTGACTTTAAAAGTACTTTAGACTGCCTTTGATGCACTGCTGTGCCAGTAAAATGATTTACCATCTTACACCGAGGCTGATAATTCCTAGTGTTGTTTTACAAAATAAATTTGGCATAGAGCTAAATATGTGAAAGTTTTTCATGTGATACATAATCAAAAGCCTACTTCAAAGCATATTTTAAAATAGATTAGGAAAATTGTTGCTTTTATGAGATTAAATCTCTTGAACAATTTGAATCTCAGTATTTCAACAAACACATTATTAAGCAACAACACAGGTATACGTATATTTAAAGACATACTTCTAATACACAATCCACTTCATTGTTACTGGGATAATAGTTTCCTGGAAGCTATAAAATCCGCAAGATTCTTACCAAAAAAGCTGGGAACCTTGGTTGATTGTGGAGTCTGGGAGTTATTCACAGCATTGAGCTGGGTTCCATAATTATCCACCTGGAAACCATTCACTGGAAAAAAATACAGCCAATTAAAATAGATAAACATTGTCACAATCTCATATTTGGACTCATGAAGCATACAACAGTTAATAAAGAAGACTTCTGGCAATTTCATTCACATTGCTGTGTTAAATTAGCAAACAGTGAATCTTTAAATATATTGTAAGGTAATATTTCCATGAGTAACTGTAGTTCTTGGTCAAAAAAGCATGACAGTTAATGTTTAAGTCGTCCCTTTAATCAATGTTACAGGCAGATAAAACTAATTGATTTTAGGTGGTAGTTTTCATTAACTGTTTGCTCTTATATTTGTATAAATGTGAAAGATTTCAACAACTCTATTGCGCCAAAATTGTACTGCAGTATTCTCAGGAAGAAAAATTAAATAATGCAACATAAAAAGAATTAGATCTATGAAAATAATTTCTTAATTTTCTATGCTTTTTTAAAAACTATAGTCACAAATCTCACATTTAATGAATACATATCTTCATTTGCATGGCTAAAACAAAATCTGAGTAGGCTTGAATATCATCTGAGATGCCTTAGTTTTAAAAGAATGCCTATATGTACTAAAATGAAATGAGAAATAAACTTACAACCATCTTCACAGGTGTTCTTGCATTCTTCCAGTGTCTCAAAATTGTTCATATTGCCCAGGCATCCACCATACTTGAAACGTTCGCACTGTTTTGACTGATTGTTATAAAAATACCTGGTAATATAACCTCGACATATTCCAGGATCTTCTTCCAAAAAGCAGAAATCTGGCTTTTCTAGAAATTATAAAAATGTCAGAAGGCAATATTTTTTTGTGTAAATAAATTACTGATTTTAATAAAATTTATAAATAACTGGCTAAGTTATTTAAGGAGTAAGCATAAAAATTAAAAAGTAAAAAAAATCTAACTTTTTCCACAGCTATACACTATTAAAATTATCTATCGTTATTTTGGGATTGGCATTTCAAATTCTAAATTTCTCATTGTAAATTAATAGGGAGTTAACTATCATTTTATTAACGAATTTAAGGAATAAAATATTATTTTACCATGTACCACTCTTGCTTTGAAATTACAAAACTTTATGGCAAAAATGTGGTTTAATTATTTTTAATATGTTTATGTGTATTAACATTTAGGAAAGGTCTATGAACATTTCAAGGTATTGAGGGTGGCTGCTCAGGAAAAGCAGTTTAGTGCGTTGCTTAACAAACCTACATGTTGTGCACATGTACCCTAGAACATAAAGTACAATTAAAAAAAAAAAGAATGGTTTAAATTTTTAAAAGTTGAAAAAGAAGATTTGAGGGGATGGAAGTTTTCATGGCTAGCCTTAGAAGTTCCTGAATTCTTATGCGGGAATTAATATCCGTACTAGGTAGCACATCCTCTACTGCTGTGTCATTTTTATTTTTTCCTTCTTCTTGTCATTGGAATGACTTCAATAATGCAGAGGCAGAAAGGAAATACATGTTCAAGGATTGGAGAGGCTTTTGCAAAAGACTAATACTTCTTCTTTGATAGTGCTCCAAAGCAGGCTAAACACAGCTGTCATAGAAGTTGTGCCACTGTGATCTACATCGCCAGCTCTGTCTACATGCATGCACTGTGAAAAGAAGTGAGCTAATTTTCAAAATTATTATGTGCACCGGCATATTTGGCTTGAATTTTTAGAACAAAATTCCAATTTCTCAATTTTTTTCCTGCAAGTATATTACCATATTGGCAAAATTGAACTGTGGTAACCTTTTTCATCTTAAAGCAACTTGTTCTTCTATGTCAGGGAAGCAATACCCACAAGTATTTTACTATAAAAAAGAACATGTATTAATGATGTTAATGATTTCTGCAACCGTTGCAGATCTATAAAAGAACCAACTCCTTATTAAAAAGTTATTTTATTAAGTAAAACTTCCTACTATAATATAGTTTTAAAAGTCTATTTTCTATAACTTTTCAATATGTTAATTTGAAAGTTAACGTTGTTTCTTCTGTTTTGCGTCTTGTTTTTTCAAATGAATGTTTTTATGATGTTTAGTTAAGTGTAATAATATGTGGGGGAAATGAATAAAACAATTCTTTAAAATTTTATAACATTTTATAAGGTAAAAAATACATTGAATTACTATCATATGATTTGTTTTAGTTTTAATGTGTACTTTTAATGAAATTTTAAATAATCTGAACAGAGGATGCAAAAACTTTGTTTGCCAAAAGTGGATGGGGGAAAAATATTACATATAAAAACATAAAAGTACAATAAATTATGCTGATAAGTATAATTAAGACACTGTACATGTACATAAATATATACACCTGATATGTACCCACAAAAATTAAAAATAAACAAACAAAATAACAACAAACAATAAACTGTACAACTGAAAGTTGCTATTTTTTATATGAAACCACATTGGGAAACATGAACTTATTTGAAGACAAAGTTGAAAATAGACACATGTAAAATAATTCTTTTTTGACCTGCAGTTTAAACTACAGTTGTAAATCAAGAAATTAATTTCCCATTTTCTTCAGGTAAATAAATTAACCTTCTTATTGAATTTGCATACATAACCCTTGCTCTAAGTTGGTGCTCAGTTGAAATTGAGTAACACAGAATGCAGGCTGGATAAGCTGCAGCATTATTACTGTTAACTTTTGTTTGAGTCTGAACACTTGGGAATTGTCTTGGACCAAACTTTATTTCTAAGAGATTGTATTAAATCTCAAATCTATAATGGTCCAATGTTAGGAAGCATAATATAAAGCTAACTCAAAATTGATCAAGTCTTTGTTATGAATAGGTGTTAGCATGTAAGCATTTTTAACATTCATGTGAACACAGCTTTATTCTCTAACTTTCATATAAAATATGAGTTAGGAATGATTGAATTCTGAGTTATAAATATACGCTTTATAGCATAATTTTACATTAAAATATTACCTTTATTTAATTTTTTTCTAATTTTATGTTTTTGGGAAAAGGTCCTAATATTTAAAGCTTGGTATCTTCTTTCACAAAAATATTTATTTCCCTTTGTAGACAAAAACTTCTTTATTATCAATATGCTATTTTATTTGATATTACAGATAAAGCCTTCATTTAATTAAAGTTCTAAACATTTCTGTCAAGATTATTTTAATATTTATAGGAACCTATTTTTTAAAATTATAAGTACATACATTTACTTATGTTTCTTGTACAAACTTTGCTATTACCTTTATTTTATACATTCTGATTCCAATTCTGGTCAGTGACTTGGGCCTAAAGATTATCGATGTGTCACAGAAATTTTCAAATCTTTCCCACATAAACAAATCAAAATAAATAAAATTTAAATGCACTTTGAATTTTGTGGTCTTTCATGTCCTGAGTTAAACTATTTTATCTCTTTGTTCAATATTTTCTCATTGAAGTGCAAATGCCATAACTGACAATTGAACCAAATCAGTTTCTAGACCTTTATTAAAAGGAGGTTTGGTTTCCCTGATCCATTGATACCATTCTTTCTTTTGCTGATATGCTTGTGAAAAGTAATTATTTTTCGCTAAAAACAATAAATAATATGATTTAAATTACACAATTAAACATACACATACATGCTAGATATTTATTTTTAAATATCTCCACTTACTTTTGCATGTATAACTGTTGGCAACTCAAGAGACATACATCCATTCCAGGGAATATTTGGTGAAACTTGCTAAAGCCACACAATGCTGAGATTAACAAGTGATTAGAGATCAGAGAAATAAAGTAAGACTCAAAACATCTAAATCTCTATCTGGAAGATGTTAAAATAGCATGTGTGGCTCTGGACTATGATTGAACTAGAACTAAATATCATACTACGTTAGAATTAGAGTAAATATAGTGTTTGGAGCCTCCTCTGACAAATATAATGCATATATTTTCCTAATTTTTGATTATGTCCTTGAAACACGTAATAAATCATTTCAAAAATGACATGATCAATTTCTCATATGTGTTTATGATCAATCTCTTTTATGGGTTTTTTAAATCAATCTCAGAGAAACTTAAGAATTGAATATCTATACTGAATCAAGAACCAGAAAAAACAAACAAGGAAACAAAAAAAAAAGTTGAATATCCAAATGCCTTACATAAATGTTCCAAATTTACAGACAAATAAATATTCACCTTGTTGCAATGCCGTCTGTATAATCCTGTTTACATTATCTGTAATCAAAAGAATATATGAATATCAATTGCCACAATTTATGATGTCATACTATGAATTTGAATTTAACAAACAAGAATGATGTATTTATTACGATTAAAATTATTCCTATACAGAATGTCTTAATAAAAATTGAATTTCTTTTTCTTTTCTCTAAAAATTAATCTTTTCTATTTATTGTAACCATGAAGCCACTTCATTTCAATAGAGTAATGTTTTAGAAACTGTGATAAAACTTTCTAACATTTACAAAGCTGAGAATTCATAGTGACTATGTTTACCATTCAGGAGATCTGTACTAAAAGCAATTATTTAAAAAATGTGAAATATGAAAGTAATTCAAGCAACCTACATTACATATAAAAATAATTTGTTAGATACCTGGGAATAAAAGTGAAATTAACCAGAATTATTTCCTTTCCTTATTCTTTCCCTTGCTTCATTGTCTCAACCCAATCGCACGTTTCATTATTATTACCAATGTAGAGAAGAAATGAAACAAAAAGGCATCTGGGACACGTTGTTTGGCTTAACATTTGAATTAACGAAATCATTTCCCTCTAAAACTAGAATGTTAGTTGTCTTTGTCCTACCATATTCCAAATATGAATTCTAAGTTCTAATTTAAATGATAAGTAATGAAATTTAAATTGACAAAAATAAGTCTATGAAGTTTTAATTTGCTCGCATAGACATTAGGAAAGTTGGGTGATATTTATTTTGTTGTGGAATCATTTGTTTTACAGAGAGAATCTTTGGTCAAAGCAGGTTACCGTTAGTTATATGACCAGAGAGATAGAAGGGGAGCGAGAGAGAGGAGGGAAGAAAGAATGAGAGAAATGATATGAATTGGGTTATAAGCCTCTTTTAGCAACAGGATCATCCTTTTTTTCTTGAAATAGTTAATTCTTCTATGGAGAGTAAAATGTCTGTGAAAGGGAAACTAATGGACCCAAACTTCTTTTAGAATTGTACTATGTTTTTAAGAAAAACAGGTGTGTGTGTGTGTATATGTATAGCCGTATCTGTTGAAGTAAGTTGTTTCCTTTACTTTGCTTTCACTGCAACTAACCAACTTCCTATTAATGTTTTCAACTAGATTGTAGACTGTCATATAATCTGACATTAAAATATTTAGATATAAAACTAATATGTTATGATTTAATTGATAAGGAGAAGAAAGAAATGTATACATATAATGAGTACACAAGACTAGAACACTAAACAATTTTCGTTCCTGATTTACCTATTGACAATAGTCATAGGGTGGGAATATATAAATGCTTGATTAATACAATTTTTGAAAGAACGTCTATTTTGTTTGCTGTTACATTCTAAATAGGATTAATTCAGGTAATATACATGCCAACTAACTCAATGTGGTTTAGCACACTAGAATTTTAAGTGTATTTATATTACCGATAATTATCTTTGAGGAATCTAATAATAATAACCTTGGACACGATAATTTGTATGGCAATAACAGTATGAAAGCAATTAATAGTTAGAAAAGATTTATAGCAAATTATCAAGTTTTCTTAGATTTAGGCAGGACAAACCATTTAACAATGCTTTTTAAGGAGCAATGAGAGAATGTTAGACTAATTTCCATTCTAGTACTCTTTTGAATTTCAACTTATATGAATTTGTTTTAATATTTCATTATGAATATTAAGACGTAAGATTGACAACAAAAACATCCCAAAATTTGCATTTGGTTGACACACATTGGCATATGATATTTATACCTCAAACTGACTTACTGATTTTTGCTTCTAAATCCATTCAAAAGTGTGCCAGATGTAAATAATGATATGTTCATCTGGGTGTGCAAGGAGAGTGTTAGACAAATACCACTTATGTGAAGTTGGTAGAGAGTGTTGTTCAAATCTTTTATATCATTAGTGATTGTTGTTTACTTTTTGTGTCAATTACTAAAAAAAAAGGTGTCTTGGAGTATGTAAACTGAACTGAGGAATTGTACACTCTCACTTCTGTCAATTTTTTCTTTAAAAATTTTGAAGTTTTATACTTAGGACCATGCGCATAGACATTAAGGATTATTGTGTCTTTTTTATTAATGGACCCTATTATAAATACCTTTCTTTCTACCTGGTAGTATATCTTATTCTGTAGTCTACTTTTACTAATCATTCTTATGATTAGTGCTTACATATTATATCTTTTTCCATTCTTTCACTTTTAATCACTCTGTCCTTATTTTTAAAGGGCCTTTCCTATAGACAACATGCAGTTAGTTAGTTCTTGATGTATTTTTGCATAGAGTGTGATAATATCTACCTTTTAGCTGGAGTGATTGGACCATTAAATTTTAATTTAATCTAATTATCGTTAGAGTTGAAAACAAATATCACTATTTGATTTCTGTTTCTCATTTCTTCTTTGTTTCTGTTTCCCTCTGTTCATGTCTCCTTTAGAATTCCTGTAATTGGGTATTTTAATAATAATTTCATCTTCATTATGGACCTATTTGTTATTTCTGCTTGTTTCATGTTTTTAATGGTTGCCTTAAAGATTAGAATGTACTAATCCATTATAGTCTAGTGTCAAGTAATATATGCCATTGTCACCTGTAGAAACCACAGAGCTTTACAACAATAATCTCATATTTTCTCCTTCCTTCCTGTGTGCTTTAATTCTAAATCCTTTAATACTAATTGTACTGCTGCTCTACCAGGAATAAATTTCCCCAGATCATGCTGATTTGAAAAGCACTTATTTTAAGAAGTAGATTACTGATTGGCACTTTTTTTCTCTCTTTCGGTTCTTTATTTTTTCTTTTTTAAAATTTATTTCGTTTTTATTTTCATAGATTTAGGGGATAGAAGTACAATTTTGTTATGTGGTTATATTGCATAGTGGTGACGTGGATTTTAGTGTAACCGTAACCCAAATAGTATCCATTGTACCCATTAGATAGTTTCTCATTCCCTAGTCCACTTTCTTCCTCCTATTTTTCTGAGTGTCCATTGTCTATTTGCCTATTATTCTACTATGCCCACATGTACACACTATTTACTCCCCTCTTATAAATTAGAACACGTGGTATTTGAATTTCTGTTTCTAGTTATTTCACTTAAGGTAATAGCCTCCAATTCCATCCATGCTGCTATAAAAGACGTGATTTTATTTTTAAGGGCTGAGTAGTATTCCATGGGGTATATGTATATATATAAATATCACATTTTCTATACCCAATCATCTGCTAATAGACACTTATGTTGATTTTATATCTTTGCTATTGTAAATAGTGCTGTGCTAAACATACAAGTACAGTTATCTTTTTGATATAATGATTTATTTGTTTTTGGGTAGATATCCAGTAGTGGGATTGCTGGAACAAATGGTAGTTCTATTTTTGGGGTCTTTGGGAAATCTCTATACTGTTTTCCATAGAGGTTATACTAATTTACATTTCCAGCAACAATGTATAAGCATTCTCTTTTCTCCTAATCTTCCACATCTGTTATTTTTTTGCCTTTTACTAATAGCCATTCTGACTGGTGTAATATGGTATCTCATTGTGGTTTTAATTTGCATTTGTCTGATGATTAGTGATTTTCAGCCTTTATTCGTATGTTTGTTGGCTGTGTATATGCTTCTGTTGAAAAATATCTTTTTGTGTCCTTTGTCCATTTTTTAAATGGTTTGTTATTTTATTGTTGAATTGTTTGAGTTACTTGTAGATTTCAGATATTAGTCTTTTGTTCAATTTTTGCAAATATTTTTCTCATTCCTTAGGTTATCTGTTCACTCTGATGTTTCTTTGTCTGTGCAGAATATTTTTAATTTAAGTTACTTGTGGTCAAGTTTAACTCTCATTTGTCAATTTTGGTTTCTGTTGCATTTGCTTTTGAGGATTTAGTCATAAATTCTTTGCCTAGGTCAATATGTAGGCGAGTTTTTCCCAGATTTTCCTCTAGAATTATTATAGTTTCAAGTCTTCCATTTAAGTCATCAATCCATTTTGAGTTAATTTTTGCATAAGGCAAGAGACATTGTTCCAGTTTTATTCTTCTGCATATGGCCATCCAATTTCCCAACACCATTTATTGAATAGAGTGCCCATTCATCACTGTGTGTTTTTGTTGACTTTGTCAAAGAACAGTTGGCTGTAAATAAATGTTACAGCCAGGAGGGAGGCTGTACCCTGCAAAGCCACAGAGGCAAAGCTGCCCAAGACCATGGGATCCCACCTCTTGCATCAGCGTGACCTGGATGGGAGACATGGAGTCAAAGGAGGTCATTTTGGAGCTTTAAGATTGGACTGCCCCGCTGGATTTTGGACTTGCATGGGGCCTGTAGACTCTTTGTTTTGGCCAGTTTGTCCCATTTGGAACAGCTGTGTTTACCCAATGCCTGTGCCCCCATTGTATCTAGGAAATAACTAACTTGCTTTTGATTTTACAAGCTCATAGGCAGAAGGCACTTGCCTTGTATCAGATGAGACATTGGACTGTGGACTTCTGAGTTAATGCTGAAATGAGTTAAGAATTTGGGGGACTATTGGGAAGGCATTATCAGTTTTGAAATGTGCAGGCGCATCGTGTAAGCTGTCAATGGATCTACCATTCTGTGGCCTGGAGGACAGTCACTTTCTTCTCACAGCTCCACTAGGCAGTGCCCCAGTAGGGAATCTACTCCACAGTAGGGGATCTGACTCCACATTTCTCTTCTGCACTGCTCTAGCAGAGGCTCTCCATGAGAGCCCCACCTAAGCAACAAACTTCTATCTGGGCATCCAGGCATTTCCATACATCTTCTGAAATCTAGATGTAGGTTCCCAAACTTCAATTCTTGACTTCTGCACACTCTCAGGCTCAATACCATGTGGAAGTCGCCAAAGCTTGAGGCCTGCACCCTCTGAAGCTCTGGCCCTAGCTCTACATTGGCCCCTTTCAATCACAGCTGGAGTGGCTGGGACACAGGGCACCAAGTCGCTAGACTGCACACAGCACAGGGACCCTGGGCCCCGGTC